TTCATTCATTCTTGAGTTTCTTTCATGGTTTTCTACCCAAGAGGCCTTTGCCTGCGTTTGTGTAAATCTTAACACCAAGGGAAGAAATGACGGTGGCCCCGCTATGGTAAGAGACCGAGTAATAGCAAGACAGGGGGACTCCATTTTCCTCATTTAATTTCTAAAACAGACCTAAGAAGAATCAGTTCACTCACTTATCTGATTCCCATATTCTTATTTCCTAGACTACCAATGATCAAGACTCAAAGTGGCATTTTATTCTAGGAGAAAACAAAACAGTAAACTTAACGTTGTGATAGTCACAATGCGAGCCGATTAAATCCAAGGCGCAAGAAAAAGCCAGAACCCTTACAACAGACAGAAGGGCAAATACATAAATGTTAAATCTGTGTGCATGTACAGACATTAACAGGAAAGATGGGATAAGGAAAACTGGAATTTATTCTAAAGTAATATGTTAAAATAACACTTTGCAATAAAAAACAGTGATGTGGGTCTTAAACTCTTGAGAGAGTTAAGGTTTATTGTACCAACCTGGCCGATAAACATATGTGGGGTTAACTGAAAGGCAGAGCGATAAATGGGTCAGTTAGCCTTGCCTTTCTAGTTCTCAGGTCTCTTGCTTTCTGATTGTTGGACCAGGGTGTAGCTGTCTTAGCCAGTCCCCTGCTTCAGCTTGCAAGGCTCACTTCCTCCAAGACATCCCTCAGGAGAAGCCACATGGACCTACCCCGATGCAGCCCTGGCTGCTGGAGAAGCCTTGTGGAGACCCTTGCCAGCGCTGAGATGCTTACATTTTCAATGATTCTGCTTTCCTCCTGCAGTCCTCCTGCAATCACTGTGTGTGTTTTGAGAGATTGAAGACAACTTTGTAGATGGGTGTCAGACATATGGGCTTAAGTTGGACTTGTGGGCTTGAGCAGCCCTGGGTTGGGATGCTTTCTTAATGTACACTTACACTTTATATAAAATTCTCTCTCATATACATTTGAGTCTCTGTGGATTTGTTTCTCTAGTTTACCCAGACTAACACAACTCTGGTATAAGAACAAATTGTCTACTAAAGCATTAAACTACTTAAAAGGGTGGGGGTGGGGGAACCAGGGGGAAAAGGGAGAGCAGGAATTGGAGAGGAGCAGGGGAGCCCAACTGGTGGCTGTGCGCTGACATAGAATGAGAGGGGACGCCAAGCAAATGAAGTTCCAAAGACCCTGGGGAGCAGGAGGGAACACATCAGAACAGGTGCTTTATAGACTGCTGTATATAAGGCTTTTTTTAAAAACTAGACATGTATGGAACTTAATCAAGCAAAAGGGAAGTGCAAGTGCACGACTGCACAGAATGCTCGCTGCAAGCGACATTATAAATTCAGACTGTGCTGGGGAATTTTGTGTCCCTCGCCTCCTGAGCGCTTGGGCTGGAGGGCATCATTCTTGATCCGGTAGTTCTACCAGCACAGTGTCCAAACCTCAGTGGCCACCTCAGGAACACGCTCACTTTTGGGCTGACTCGAGGGTCGGCCAATGGGCTTGGGGAACGAGCTCGTAAAATCTCCTGAAGACCACCAGTTGCCGCTGAGTCAACTGAGACTCATGGAGGACCCGTGTGTGTCAGAGTAGAACTGTGCTCCACAAGGTTTTCAATGGATGACTCTGGGGCAGTGGGTCACTTGACCTTTCTTCCAAGACACCAACATTTCAGTTAGCAACCGAGCAGGTGAGATGTTGGAACCACTCAAACAAAAAAAGAACCAGGCACATTGCTTGACAAGCCAATTCCAACTCTCGTGTATTAGAGGACAAGTGTGTCCCACGGAGCTAGCGTAGCAATCCTTTTTACTGGCAAGCCATTAGGTCTTTCCTCCATTGGGTGGGTTCAAACCTCCAACCTTTTAAGTTAGTCATTGAGTACGTACTATTTACACCATCCAGGGACTCCAAAGACCCCCGGCCCCCTGCCCCACAAACACCTGGAAATGGAAACTTTGCAGACTAAGTAGCTGTCCAGTAAGATGTCTGCATTTAGACACTGATCGTGGTTCTCAAAAACCACGTTTTTACTTGGTCTTAGAATAATGTGACCAGATTTAAATCAGGACACCATTGACTGGGGGGTGGGGGGGTTCTTGATTAAAAATTTGGTCTATATGGACCAAATAGACCATTCCCCAGCTTGTCATGCATTCTTTCCAAAAGTTGGGACTTTTAAAAAATGCCAAAAATCGGGACTGTCCCGCCAAAAGCGGACGTCTGGTCACCTTATCTTAGAACACAGGCAGGACAGGTAAGCACCAGGCAGGTCCTTGGTGATGACCAGGTTAAGGTGGCCAGGTTAAACTTTCGTTTCCGGTGGTTCTAAGTGTATGCGATCAGCCTGAAGTGCCCTCTACATTCTGCAGCGATGGGGAAGGCCTGCCAGGGTCATTCAGTGCATTCATCCAAGGGCAGCCACATGTATCCATCCGCTAGCACACATTTCCATCAGAGGATCTTATTTCTTGCTGTTGCCTGAGTCCCCCTGACCTCTAAACCTGCAACTCAGCAATGTGCCAAGGTTGCGCCTCTCCCAAGAGCACGTGTGCTTTCCAAATGCCCCCCCTCACTCATCCCCTAGTCTCAGGTCTAAGCTCCCAGACGAGCTTGTGTATGGCCACAGACTTGAACTGATGAGTTTGCTGGCTCTCTTCCAGCCAGGCTGACTTAAAACTGCAGAGAGGGGTCCCTTCATAAACCGACAGTGTTTACTAACCACCTACACGACACGTGCTAGTTTGCTTAAATTAACTACTTTGGAATCCATCCATTTAAAAAAGGCGTCCAAACAGAGGATGGTTTTCACTAGTAACAAGTAGCAGTGTTTCTTGTTAACCATTAAAATCTAGGCAGAAAACCGTGGAGGCAGTGGTATTTTCTCTCTGGAGGGCAGCGTGAAAGGTCAGGGGAAAGACTTGGAATGCAGAAAACTAACCATAAACGGGAAGGAGGGCGAAGGTGAGGGCACCTGACTCCATACGGCTTCACCCGAGAACTTACTTGCCAATGTTTTCCGGCAGAGACTGCAAGGAGATGTCGTTTACAGACAGACACGTTAAATTCTGTAATTCAGGAAAGCTCGCTGGCAATCTGCAACAGAAAATGAGGTTGATTAAAACAGTGTACACTGTGTACACTGAGCATTGGTACCATGCGGATTTCTTCTCCATTCAAATGGAAACAACCTCCTCCAATTGCATTGTATCTGCCAGGTTTGCCTGCTTTCCTATATACACAGAACGCTGACAAGAAAAACAAACAGTGTCTTGGACTACCTAAGTAGGAACACAGGGGTACAGTGAATCGTGGTGGAAAAGATGAGTAGAGATAAGTACTGAGGAGAGACATGCAAGCCTTTTCCCCTCAAAGGGTGGTGGTGGTGGTGTTGGGTTAACTGAGTGCTCTAGGAAAGAAAACGATAAATCACTGCTGTCACTAAAACGCTTTACTGTTCAGCAGAAAATGGAGAGAAAATTCAGGCAGCTCAACAAGACTGTCATAAAACCCAGGGCAACTGCCCTGCAATTTTTCTTCTTGTAGCTTTTCCTACCTACAGCAAAGGCGTACTACTTAGACTTGATCAGGTGATGGCCAACTGTTACTTTATCCTTTTTTTTTTTTTAATTTCTCTCTCAGGTGCCAATCACTTGAGACAATGGCATATTTCACTG